TATAGAAAGTACATGCTCACCAGCGACTGTGGGCATTTGTGCACATTTGTGCTGTAAAACCAAAGGAGGGTTAACTAATCTCCACTCTTTCCAGGCAAATGGGTGAAGGATGGCTCAGGTACCATCACCCCGAGTGAAGACGGACCGACATGGACCTACGAAACGGACCACTTCACCTGGTGGATACTCGCCATCGTGTACACGCCCAACAGCTGTCTGACTGTCAGGACCTGCTACGATTCTGCCTGCACGCAACCCGCTCCCAACATCCCCATCATGTAAGGCGCAGTGAAAATAGTTTCTTTCCCACTGTGTATGCAAATAGCAAGTCTGGTCAGCTATTTGACAATTAACCAATGTAAATGAAACCAAACTTAGGCCAGCCGGCAATGTTTTTCCACTGATCTGATCTATTTCCAAGGATGGATTTGCGCCAGGGAGATGTTAATAAATTTCAGATTTTTTTTCAAACAGCATCCAAACAAACAGCAATTCAAACACTGCATATGCAATGTTATAATACACGTCGGGCAGGGCAAAAAATCCTAAATTAATGATCTTGATGTAGTCTTCCAGTGGAATTTTCCACAGCATTTCACGTCAGTATTCAGTTTTATGATCGACTGAAAGTTTCACTCGCAATCAACTAGACTGATAAAAATGACAGAAATCATGTAGTAGGTGATATGATGCACACATGCCCTAGCTATGGTTGCAGTTTAATGCTTTCTTGTCTGTGTACCTCAAAGTCGGTAAAGGATTTCACATCCGCTTGGGTGTGAAACTTCCTTGATAGTGAGAATTTGTCACAAATGTGGATGCTGTCGCACTTATGCTGTCGTCTTCTTCAGCCACACACTATATTCTTTTCCCGTGCATTTTTGCTCCGGGTATGTATGAACCAAACATGCATGTACTGCAGTCTGTTTGGTTCAATTTGTGCAAAGTATCTGGTGAATTTTTCTGAATACCTCTTTGTCTAATTTAAATGACTGTATGATAGCTGGCTCCTGTCAAACAAGTAAATGGACTGAAGTTCTGAAATGTGCGCAACCAGTTTTCCACTGAATGTGCACAAACTCTTGGTCTCTTCTCTTGAGATGAATTCACCAGAGACAGAGTAATATAGGGACTCTATTTTACAAATTGTAAATCGCTCTGATCTTGTCAGAATTTCTGGAGAGAACTTCATCCTGCATGAGGAGTTTGTGACTGGGGCGTCGGGCTCCATCTGCGCTGACGTCCTGGGCGATGAGATGAACCAGGTGCGGGTACTGCAGAACTGCACCGGGGAGTCGCAGCTGGTGACGGCTAACCCAGCTAAGAGCGGGCTGTGCACGGATGGTGGCGATGCCTGCCAAGAGGTGACTTTCATCATACCTGGTGAGTTGGGACAGCAGTATGAGCCAGTATTGGGACCGCATCGGAATCTGGTGTCTAGAGCTCGGTCGAGGTCTTCCCCATTGGAAACGTGTGGGGCACAATAAGAGTAACCACAGAGTTTAGGCACTGCCCAATTTAAACTTGATTTGATTCTAGAGCCCTTGGATTTCCAGTTCTGCTTGCATAATCACATTACATAGAGATCTCCAGACTTATTGGCCCAATTTCACGTCGCTGCTTAAAGGAACCAGGAAATAGAAATATTTGTATAAATTTTACTGAAACCCTTGAAATTGCATCTTTGAGTTTCATTTAACCTCATTTTAAATTTTTGTTTCGCAATTTTAACCCGTAATTTTGATGCTGTTTTTGGTTTTTATGCACATGCATATTTGCAAAGTCATGAGCAGAACGATGATATCATCCAAGGCACTGAATCTCAATGTTGTACTGATTTGTGCACAGAAAATTTCTAGATTTTGTTAACCACTGCTATGGCAGATTTTTTTGGGGTAATTTATTGCTGTGTAAGTATATGGCAATAATCCTGCAAAAACTTTTTCACAGAAATGTTCCCAGATAGTAAATGTCGGGTTCACAATTTGAACATGAAAACATGCAATCTGAACCGTGTCTTCCTGGATTTACACAACAAGTTCCTAGCGTGGATGTTTGCATCCTAAAGAGGGGGCTGTCTGAACGCAGAGCTTAGTATCTTGGTGAAAGATTTCTACCTGAAGTGACGTAATGCAGGTGTATTGTTAAGTTACATCACTTAGTGATACACCCAGCGTACCATTCAGTTTGTGTTGTGATTTAACCCTGTTTCCGTTCACAGATACTGTTCCGACTATGTGCCCCAGTACCGGTGCGCCAGAGAATGGTGTCAGGATGGGCACTGACTACAGCCTGGGTGCCACGGTCTCGTTCTTCTGTGACCCCGGCTACCAAATCAAGGGCAGCTCCCAGCGCCTGTGCCTGCAATGCGGGAAGTGGAGCGGCTCCGAGCCTTCATGTCCGCTGTCCTCCCCTGACAGCAGCTCCGTGGGCAGCGGAGAAGGATCCCTGGACATCTAAAAAAAAAAAAAAAACAGAGCCAGGGATTGTCGAGAATGGACCCTTCTGGCCATCCGGCAGTCATTGCTGCATTATAAAGGCGTAGTGAAAAACCAAAACCCTATAAGCAGTGCAGGCTTGAAATTGTCAGTTTATTTTGTCTGGTACGTTAGCATTCATCATAGCATTCTCCTAGTATAAATATGCAGAAGTTAATTAACTAGCAGGAAAATCCAATTCACAGCGGCCTTTGCTCGTCTCAGCTTACCAACTGCAGTTTTGTTGCTGTACTCTAACTGCACAAGGCCATACTCTTATTTAATCACTGTAGGTTTGTACTTCAAGTTTCAACCTCGCATGGCCGGTTACTTACAGTTTATGTAAACTGTCAGGAGAAGTCTTGCAAGGAACAGATTTTCATCAAAATGTCTTTTTAAATAAGTGAGGTCATTTTATTTTAAACACCTCAATTTTCCAGGAATGATAGTCCATACTAATCCACTCTGTATAGAGTTTCAATTGGTAGGAAACTACTCTCTAACACAGGATGAAACAAATTTAATGATGACATATTGATATGTTTTAATCTATGACTGTCATTGTTGACTTGAACTAGAAAACAGAATTTATTGTAGTTTTCTGAAGTCGGACAATAGAGTAGTTATGATTTGCTTGCACCGACCATGTCATAGGCATTTGTTCAAAAATTCCAAATCTGTGTCACCCATCTTTTTGTCAGTTAATAACATCCTCAAACTCACCCCTTTTGAAGATGTACCGTTGAATAACTTCTGCAGTGCATTTCTTTCGTGTTTCGATATAAGTTTGAAGATAATTAAATTTTTGACAATCCTGCAAAGCCTTCAGGCCACCACTGTTGGTCAGACCTAGTAGTTTTCAGGGAAAGATCACAAACTGTATTTCTTTTTTCTGTGAAACACACGTGTCGGTGAATGTTTGAATGCCAGTTTAATCAAAGTTTCAAACTCCGCAAACACAGCCCACTGTAACTATCCTCCAGATATATATTTATCCATTTTTAAACTGTAATTTTCTAGCAAAGTTTCAGCTGTCAGATAATTTGTAGAGAAAACTTTATTTTGCTGCATTTATTTAATGTGGACTACTGTGTGCAAATAATGTTAGATTAAAACTAAATGATGATCGAGATTTGGAGATGCTTGTTCATTGCGTAATGGTCATTTTTTTTTCCCTCGGCAAGTGGAAAAGGCCAAAGTAAGAGATGAATGTGTCAGTGCAAAGAAATAGCATGGTTTAGATTAGATAATAAGATAGCTTCATGGAAATGGGCCTTTCTAGCTGAGAGTAGAGCTCACCACTGTTAAAATAATGATTTTTCTGCCTTGGTATAATGAGAAATTGTGGACATAACAGACCGACATTTGCCTCGACAGTAACATGAAACTGAGATCACAAAATCAGCAACTTAAATTGATAGATATATATTTGATGATATTTTTGAACAATAGGGCTTATAAAGGGTTTAGAAACATCTTAGTGCTTTCGCTCCTTTGTTTGGGTTTTGTACATACTTTGGTAAATGCAGGTTTTTAGTCACTTGGGTAGGCACTGCTTATTTGTTTCATTGTTCAAGTAGAGTTTATCATCATGGTGTTTAATAAATTGGAGTCTCAACCAGTATTGAAGGCTATAACCAACAATGCAGTCATGTGATGGCATTTATTTTGTAGTGTGCTCCAGATTTATGCTGATCAGTGGCTTAAATTTGTGTCCCAAATTGAGGGATGGGGATGACTTGCCTGGCCATGTCAATTTGATAAGTGGGGGGTTAGGGGGTGCTGACACCGTATGACAATATAGGGGGCGGTGTTCATGGACCGTACAGATGTACACGTGATAATCATAGGCCAATGTATTACAGTCATGCAGAATTTGACATCAAAATGACGCACTAATGCCTTATTTTGATCTCTCTGAGTGACATTGAATACATTTTGGTTGTTTGGAAGTGCAAACAAATCGTTACAATCTAATGTAATTTTTTACTCACCACGAAAATGTGTGTGTAGGTTGGTGGGTGGGTGTGTTTTGGGGGATGATTCAATAGGCCATCCCCCTTGGTGAAAAAGTAGGGGAATATACCTGTATACCCCCCCCGCCAATGATGCTAATGCCAGGCATTTTCGATTTTCTGGGACTATGTTTTCTTGACAGAAATGCTGGGAATAAACTGAAGAACCTCACCACACGCACGCCTTGTAAAGTTCATATCCTTTCCAGAGACAATGGAAATCATCACACTTTTGAAATGGTCAGCGGAAAAAAACCGCACCGACAAATTTGTAAACTTGCCTCCTATCAATAAACTGAAGGCTTTCTCTTTTAGTTTTGTTTCATAGTTCTGTGAGTTTGCTTCATTTCGTGAATGGAATTCTTTTTTCTCCAACGTATATTCGTGAACAGAAAGGGGGAAAAGCCTAAATTTCTTCGGGGGGGGGATTAAAGCGCTCATTGGCAGCAAACCTACCAATCACAAGTTGGCAGTTCTGTGGTAATTTCACGCAAGCGGGTGATTTTTATCCGAGTCCCTCCATTCTCAGGGGAAGTACCCCCCTTGCCCTTCCTCAGTGGCATAGCAACAAATATATCAAAATAATGATTCAAATGCAAAAGGGTTTTCGCTCTTTCCCTCAAGTCCCTACTCATACTTCACAAAGACATCTTTTTCTCATCCACTATTGGTTTGGAGTGAATTTTGTTTTGCCAATCCTCACAAGTAAGGTTGTCGTTCCAGTTTTCTTAAAAAACTCGAATGGCGCCCTCTTAAAACTGGAATGGCGCCCTCACGTAAGTTTTCCGCGCCATGATACAAAGCTCTTGAGTGCGCACGGGTGAACGTTGTTTCGCGAATTATGGCACAAAATACAGGTAATTATAACCATTTTTTGTTCTTATAGGCGACTGCACTGTTTGCCTTTTTACTGTTAATATGAGGAAAGATACAGGCAGTTCCTGGGGCAAATAGTTGCTTGATACGAAGATCAATTTCAGCTTGAAAATGGCCGGCCGGAGTCACGGGTGTACACTCAAGCATGGTGTAGGCCTGCAAAGTGTTGACATTGTTAAATAATACTATTAATAGTACAGTAACATGGCGCACTTTGAGTTCTCGCCTGAGCCTATTTTTTTTTCTACCTCAGATTCCATTTAAAGTGAAATTTCATCAAAATCCCAATATTCAGTTTCGATATACTTGATTTCACCCACCCGCTACAAAGTTCCGATGAAATTTTATTTTGACTAGCTTCAGATTTTCTGAATTTTTTTCTGAAGAAGAGCAAAATGAACTCTTTTAATATGCATCCAAAAATAACCCCTAGAACTGTGGGGTCCATCATCTGCCGCACTTCCTCAAGGGAGTGTAGTGGAAAACGGACCCCACAGTTTTGGGGGTACCAAAAAATAAGAAAATAATTTTGGAAAAAATGTTTGGTTCAGTATGTAAACGGAGGCAGAAATACTTTATTACAATTTATCAACTTTAAAGAATTTATTAAATGTTTCCCAAGTAGGAGTCTGCAGTGTACGTGTTAAGGGCGGAAATTCATGTTTAATATGAAAACGTTTAAAAAACTTTCTCATTCTGTGTAAACATTTTGCCAACACTTTACAGAGGCCACTGCTGCCCACCTCAGTGTTTTCATACAATGTATACATACAGCTGTAATTAGAATTCAACATTGCACATGGTCCAACCAGTGTAAACTGTAGATTGATATTGGGCCATTTACAACAAGCAATCTTTGTTATTTTAGAATCCAGTTATTTCCTCAAAAAGTACATTAGCCTTGGTCAAGGCGTTCGTCCTTCATCACAGCACAGTGCACGGCAGTGCGCACCTGCCTCTTGAAATCAAGGCAAAGAGCAAACAGCTGAACCAGGACGAATGCCTTGGTGCAACCCTCCACGGAAGCTTATGTTTTTCTTTACTTTTGGGCTAGATTAGTAGCCCACTACCTCATTTGCGAATATGAATATATGTAGATGCAGGCATGCGATGAGTGCATAGTGACCAATCGCAACTAAGTATGCATGTACATATGCCTGATGTATCAACGTGAACAGGCGTGCATGATGACCTATAAAATTAATGGCGGACCACTGCTGCATGACGAGTTGTCTTGTTGCTTGAATTCCGCTGCAGATAAATTAATGTTGGGTGATTTTCGTGCCGAGCAGCAGCAAGCCTTAATTAGTTTTACTTTCTGCAGGGTCACAACATTTTCGTGAATTTGTCAACAGACTACGGGAATTCTGTTATTTTTCAGGCTGCACCTTTCTGCTCGAAGCTCCTCCGATACCAGATACGTAGTCCGTAGCGCTTGTCATTTGAAAAAAAAATCAATCACAATCAGTAAAGCAAAGCAAAGGCAAACTCGATCTTCGATTACTCTGATCAGCCGACAAAAGAAATAATGTTGACTAGTCATGTACATATATCACCACATGTGCGTTCAGTTAACCTTTCACCTAATGACCGACTTGAATCATGCAGTGACCACATGTACGTAGCAATGAACCAATCAAAAAGTGTATTTAAAACATCGATTCTTGTCATTAGCATAATGAGCAGCGTCCAATACAGCTTCCCACGGACGACGGTTGCACCAAGGTGTTCATCCCGGTTTAGCTGATTTGCATATTTCTAAAACCGCGGGAGGCCGCTCTTCGACTTGATTTCGAGTGGCAGGTGCTCGCTGTGCTGCGACGAATGACAAACGTCTTGACCAAGACTAAACGCACATGAATGCTGAAAGGGAAAGAAACAGTATGGAACAGACATTGTTTACAATTGTGTCAATCAAAACGTCAATTTCTAAAAGGGGTGGTTCTGTTTAAATGTTGGGAAAATCTGTAAACAGATTTGGAACTTTTTTGTTTAAACACGTAAAAGTTCCACCCTTAATGTGTGGTCCAAAGGATGAAGCAAGTGACAAATTACTTACATGTACACTGTACTGTCCTGATACAGGTTGTCCATGTAGATGTAGTGTCTGGTTTATCGTGCACTGTGATTGAAGTTTGAGTAGAGGCGTGATGATTCACCAATGCACCAATGCCACAATGTGGCATAATAAACTGTGCATCTTGATACTTGAAGCCTGGAGCTAATACACTTGAATGTGCACTTTCACTTGAACACTTTCCACCTGTTGATCACTGCAAGTGCAATGTACAACTACTTAAGGGACGTCAATCCTCAGTGCATCCTGATTGTAATTCTCCCATTCAACTGCTGGGGTTGTACCAAACTGAGGTACCTGTAACAGTTGAGGCATAGTTTAGATTTTTTCCAATGAGCATGATCCATGTACACATGCTTAGAATCAGTGATGGGCCTATTTGCAGAAACATTTAATCGATGAAACTGAGAAATGTGCAGAAACAAGTGGAGGTTGGTTATAGGACTCATGCAGCCAGATCATAAAGTGCGTTGATCTTTTCTGAATTTTCAGAAAAATCTTGAAAACTGCACAGGCATCTTTACATACATGTACGTGACCTGTCATGGCAAAATTAACGTAAAATTACACTCCTGTGTTTCCTATTATGACAGTTCAAAGTCAAAAATTGAAGGGGAGGCCAATTCACGGGTTTAGTAATATTTGGAAAGAGAAACCCTTCTATTTAATCCCAAAAGTTTTAGCAGGATCTGACATTTAAAACATGATTTTCTTACCAATTTTCACAATAGCATTATTCCTGCCTGGTAAGAAATGTTGAAACAATGTCAGACACAAAGATGCAAATCTTGCAGAATGTCACATTGCCCGCCGTACTTTTACCCTAAGTGTTATACCACAGGAAAGCTTTGTTTTCTGCTGAATTCAAAAATACCAATATCTCAATTTTTGAAAATTCTGACTTAATTTTAGATGATTTGAAGGTGACAGGTGACATAATGTTTTGTGGCAATGCATGTAGAGCATAATTTCAATAACAAATGGCATTACGCGCGACCCCAGTGGACCATGTGCCCAAAACACGACTCTTCTTTGTACATAGGAAGCAAGCGACACACTGTTCTAACTGTCGGGGTTAATCTGTCCTACCTTTTTATCAAATGAAATTGTTACTGTCAGTTTGCAGATTGTCTTTTTGTGGGCATATGAAACTGAAAACAAAATCAGAACAGACGAGAGCTGCAAACCACCAACACACCAGTAACTGCTAGAAATGTCCCTGATGCTGCATAACATGTACACACGGAATGCATGTGAACAAATAGCGAGCGCTGGTCATGTCACATGCGGTCTAGATCAGTGCTACATACGTCACGGTTTAAGGCTTTTATGTACAAAAATACCTCCATAACTTGAACAATGCCCACACCATTATATCCAATTATTTTGCAGTTTCTGCTTCAAACGGCGTTGAAAGAATCAGAAGTCTTTATAGGGTCCGGACTCATCACTGCCAAGTGATACAGAAGTGCATTTCTTTTCTCTTGGGTACCAGTTGTACATGTACTGTATGCACATTACATAAACCAACGTTTCCCAAAACTGCAATTCTGGCTTTCAAGCTACTGAAACTAACCTGATCAATTTTTTTTTTCAAAATCTAAGCTTTTATATTTGGACTCATACATGTAGGATCGACGAAAGTGATGACAACACCTTTCCTAGTTTTGGAT